TTTTCTTCCTTGCTTAGGTCTATTTTGTAATATGAGAGTTTCTCTGTTTTCCGTGCTAAGCGAATTATTCAATCATCATACAAGTAAAATTTCATGACTGTATGATCATAAAATATTCACATGTGAATGGACTTTGAAAGTATTTGTGTTGTCCCCAACATGTGTACCAAGTTCAAAGGTGCCCATGGCTAGAGGGAGTCTGCTTGGTTCTAAAAGCAGATCCTTGTTCACTACTCAGTGATTTATCAAAAGCACTACAGGGCTACCATCAAGTACCCATATATTTAGCTGATATAAACTAGGCATTCCAGAAATGACAATGCTTGACAACCAAATGCATAAAATAGTAAACAATTAACAATCAAAATAAGAAAACAGCTGTTAGTTTCTTTTTATATAAAAATTATATCTAATTTACAATAAATGCTTATTAAAATTATTAACCAATATACATAAATCTCTTCTGCCTTACTGTCAATGAGGATGAAGTTCTCTTGTAATTTTAAAAGGATTTCCTAAAGTCTTTTCTTTTTTTAATGGGTTGGAGATGGGGAATATCTCAATCATGAAACTGGTACTCCATGAGCATCCTGGTCGTGTCTATCCAATAAAAGTCAAATGTGTTATGAAAGTGTAAATAAAGGGCACTAGCAAGATAGTGATTAATCCAGCCCAAGGCATTGATGTGTTTATAGTTATTTCTGTTAACTTTAATGATTGATAAAACCTCCATTCAACTGAAATTAATCTCACAGTTATCAATAACCACTTAGATTAGCACATGAAAAGCTTTAATATATGACAAAATGTAACTTTGAAAGTAGTAACTTCTTATTTTGGCTGTTGAGTAGCTGATGTGTAAAACTGTCAACTGAAATCTAGAAATATCACTATACTAACGTTCTGTAATGATTAGCTGTCTATTTTCCTTATATGAAGAATATAGTCCCATCATGTTATTTTTTAATTACCATTTACCCTTGTCTTTGAAGTTCTTTCACTTAAAGTAATGATAAAAGCTTCCTTATTTTAAGACTATTTATGTTGATCCAAGATACCAACCCTTATTTCATTTACTCTCATATGTCAGAGCTTTAGGTGTTGCATGTTATGAAAGTTAGAATATGTTAGCGAAGTCAGTGAAGCTTTGCTTTATTGGTTCATGGTGGAGTCACTTAATTGGATAGTTAATTAGATAGTCACTGTATGCAAGCCATAAAAAAGAACACAATTTTTGTGAATTTTAAGTTAAACGTGATATATTTTCCTATTTAAAGTCATATCATTTTCTTGAACTTCTCGTTTGGTTTTTTTCTTTTTAGCATCTCAACACTATTAAAATTTTATATCTAGAAGATCCAACTTTTCTTCTTTTCAAGTAACATGTGTTGAGTATCTGCTGAGACCTGATTATTGTGCTCTGGTTTGGGAATATAAACAGAATAAGGCTTGTTTGCATACAGAGAGCTGTGTGTCCAGGAGAGAGACACATACTCAGACAGAGCAAGTACAATACAACGAGTGAAGTAATATAGCATAGGCTGCTACTGGCATGCCTAGCATTGATGCTCTACTCCTTCTGAAGATCTTCCCGAATGGCTGCACAGGATTGGAAAGAAGACAAGAAGTTCTCAGTAGCACAAAGAAGGGAGAGGTGCAAAAACTTTGCCTCTGAAAAGTGGCAGCACAGTGTGGCATTTAAAAACACAGACTCTGGGGCCATATTACATGAGTTCCACTTGGGTAATCAGTTAATCTTTCTGCTCCACAGTCTCATCATCTGTGGAAGGGGCCAATCTCCTTTAACAGACTGCCATGAGAATAAACGAGTTACTTTTTGTATGAACAATCTAAGGGCTTGCTGTGATTAGAACTAGGGTGTAACATTCTGGAAAGCATTGGTAGGTCAGAAATATGAAGGAGAAAGTTAAGGATAGGCCAGAGAGAAGAGGCACATAGCTAACAGAAAGAGCTGTGAAGCCACTGCTGAATAGCAGATATATGAATTATGATCTATAATTAGTCCATAGCTTTCAGAAAGAGCAATCATGAGGAAACTAGAACAGATGAAATGTTAATCAAAATGATGAGTTAGGTGGCTCTGGAAAGAGTCCTGTGGTGTTGGTAGGAGCTGAAAACAAATGAATCAGAAAGGAATGGAGAGAAAGGGATAGTGAGTATCTAGCTCAGAGGCAGATTTGGTGATTCGCTGGGTGGTGGGATCACCGAAGAGGGACAGCTAAGGATTGGATGGAAAAAATGCTACACTTTAGATAGACAATGAAAAAAATGCTGTTTTCTTCTCCCTTCACCTTTTATTCTTTCCCTTTGTGCAGGATGAGATTACTCCCAACGTAGAATTAAAGTTTTGAAAACTTTACCAAGACTGAAGACTATTAAACGTGGCTGTTGAGCTGATCACCCCTCACTTTGTCCAAGACCTTGAATTTCACTGGCAATGTTCAGATTTTGGAAGATGTCTGTTTGGCCACATGGCTTCAGTTTTTCTTTTCTGAAAATGTACAGACATTCTGGCTGGCCTCATTTCCCCCTGATGTTATGTGATTCTGTGACATCAGCACAGATATATTCAGCTCTGACATATGATACTGGCTGGCATGAGAAGGAAGGGAAGATGGCTGAGCTTGTGAGCAGGATGTGACAGCTAAGCTCAAGACTAAGTAGCATCAGCAACAGGTGTCCCTTGGAACCCACCTCAGAGATGGCTCCTTCTATTTTTAAGATGTTGGTAAGTAACTCTTTCACAACTGTACAGAAACTATGAAAATTATACGTTCAGTGCTATAAGATCCAGTCACCAAGAAATTACATTTGCTATCTCAAGGCTGGAGCAATTCTCTGTACCTGCCTCTTATGCCCTTATTTTGAAGCAGTAGTTTCCCATGCTTATGGCAGTGGTCCAGAGGCAGGAGGAAGGACTAGCTAAGCTCTTACAATCTTTTTAGTTCTACAATGCTCTATCCTGTATGTGGCTAAATTTTGTACCTGTAAGGTTGTCTTTTATGTCCCTGGAGGGCCATTAAACTTAGTGGACTGTTAGGGAATTGACAATGACAGTATAATTGAACAACCAAATGCTTTTTATTTTCAATATAGGATTCTCTCAAGCACCATAGCTCTTAAGCAGTAACAAGAGGCCACTTCCATCAAAGTTCAGTTACTCATTTCTGTCTACCCACACACAAGCTTTTTACTACTTCTGATAACTTTAATCACCACTATCAGCTGCTTCCACAATAGCAAATAAAACCGGTATAGTGAGATAAAAGATACATAAAAATAATTTTTCTCATGTCATGTATCGCTCTTTGTGACAATCCAGTTTTTTTTATTAATTTAATGGACATTTACAAAGATTTTGGATTTCCATTCATTCACTGTTGCCCTTTTTTCCCTGCCCACCCTTCTCCGATCCCCCCAAGTTCGCTCTTCTCTTTGAAAAATAAAAATTCCGACAGCAAACAACAACAACAGTCTTTGCCAAACACAGTGGCAAGAACCTAAGAGAATTTCTTAACCCTCACCATTCTCTTAGGTTCTTGCCACTGTGTTTGGCAAAGACTGTTGTTGTTGATTGCCGTCCAGTGGAGCACGACTCATAGTGACCCGATAAACAAATGGTGTGAAGCCTTTCTTTAACTATCATCATTTATCAAAGTTCACAGAGTTTCCAGAGGCATGCTGTTTAGGAAGTGGCTGCCACTCCTGCTTCTAAGGCAAAGATTTGAATGCAAAAAATGCTGTTTGGCTTTAGTTTGGTTTGATCCGTAACTGCGAAGTGACTAACCACAAAGGACTTTCTTAAAGGCAAATATGAGCATGTGATTTTAGAGTCCAGCAAAACAGTGTATTATTGAAATTTACTTATTATTTGACCTATCCAATTTCCCAAAGATAGGCAATACAAGAAGATAGTGTCATTTACTGTTTGTTAACTCATTGTGTCTTTCATTCTAATATTTTCATTATGCACTGAATTAGTGGGGAGCCAACATCAGAAATAAGAAATATTACCTTAAATGGATATATTTACAAATATATTTTTGTATGCCAATTTTCTCCACTTTCCCCCTATGATTAGCAAGCTATTATAGTTGACCCTGGAAAAATATTTTAATTAGGCTGTCCATGGATATTTAAATAAACCTGAAAATTTTTTCCGACATTTCAAACTTAACCTCGTGTCATTCATGCCCGCCTCCCATTACTTCAGATGTATAGAATTTTCCAGTTGCAGATATTACCATGGTTACCTCTTAATGCCAATCATGAACTATAGTTGCCATTTATAAGTACTGTGCTTTGTAGTGAAAATAACATCAGTATCTCAATAATCACGATATTATTAATTGATATGGAGTCCCTGAAGAAGTGTGACTATGAGACAATTTACCATACCGTAAGAAATTCTCAAGAACTGAAATATATGTAAGGTGTTTTTATGCAAGTACGTTCCATTTATATTCTCATTCTCATAACTGCTCATTTCAATACCAAATATGGTTGTATTTATTAGCAGTATTGTTGAATGGTGGCATTTTACTTGCTCTTTCTTTTTATGGATTCTTTTTTAGAAGTACGTGCAAGTTTAATACTTGTATGGGTGGAAAGTAGTTCACAATGGGAACTGATTAATAGTACAAAACAAATAAATAAGACTTGTTCAAGATATTTTTGTGTCCAAAGATGGTATTTAGGATTAAATTAATTTGATCAGAACCTTTCAATCTCTAGTTTTGCTAAGTAGTTAACATTTTACTAAGGAAGGCTTATAGTCAACAGTTAACAGTCTTCTTCTGAGTTCTAGTAAGCCATTCTTGCTACAGAAAAGCGTTTTAGAAATACTTGAGACCATTTTTCCATGCCTTTCAGAGACCTTTCAACTCTACTCTGTTCAAAGAGCTTACTTCCTGCCAATCAACTAGCAGCAGAACCCTGGACTACCGTACTGCAGTATTGAAGTCTCTGTCTCTGCTTACCTGCACTGGTGCCTGCACCGGATGTGAGGTCTCCACCCATCAGACCACCTATGATGGAAGGGAAAGATCAAAAGGAGAAAGGCTAAAGACCCACTCAACAAAACACTTTGCCTCCAGCAACCTCAGTATTTTTTCCTTTCCAAGAGTCACAAAATTGTAAAGCATTGCCTAAGTCACATGGAATAGCTGACATTTGCTTTAGTGTGGCATGCTGCGCTCAGACATTAAAAATACGTTCAATCATTGACATCTAGAAGAATCTTTTTTTTTTAAAAAAAATTACATTTCAAGGTAACCGTCTTGAATTGTTTCTGCATTTTTATTCTTTTTAAGTTTGATTTTTCTTAAAGAGATAGTTCATGAAAAAAAAAAAAATAAGAAAAAGTCTTACCAAATGCTTAGATAACCATACAATTGGTGTTTAGTTCTTTGTGGCTAGGTTTTACACAAGCTATTCTGTGAAATGCTCACTGCTCAAGGGTCCTGGTCATTTCACGAATGCCCCATGAGTTCGAGTACTATTTACTACCTCAATCTTACTGACTGATAAGGTAAAACAAGTTTTTACTGGCCACTGAATCAAATGTTTATTCATTGCTAACTCAGGAAAGCACATTAGACTTGGCAATGTTTATTTACAGGGGTTGGGATGGTTCAGTATAATATTGAATACAATAATTATTTTGAGTTTTTAAGATATAAGATTTATCATGTAGAAGACCTAGCAGTGGGTAGACTTCATCAACAAAGGCAAAAAGGGGAAACTATACAGTTCACATTCTATTGGTAAAAGTCTTTGTTCTTTCCTATGATTTGTTAACCTGAGGTGCCTGTGAGGACATACCTGTGTTACCCGCACTTGGAGGTCGATGTGTTACACCAGGAGACATACTATTCCTCTGCAGAGAAGGGTGGGCCAGTGGCAAAAGGTTGGGGTTTCCCAGTGAACTGACGGGGTTGCTGTATACCAAACTGTTGTGGCTGGACACTGGGATGGAGACTGGCATCTCAAAGTTGGGAGGTGGAACAGCCTGTGGACCAGAAAGAAACAGGAGTAAAAGGTAAGAACAGTAACAGAAATGCTTAAGTAGAGGAAGCTCGTATTTGTCCAAGAAAAATTCCAAAAGGAAAACGGCTTGGCGTGTACAATACTATAAAGAAGAGCTCTTGAGATGTTCAGCTTGCAAATGGATTTCTTTAATGTGCTTAGAACACTTTCTTTGCAACTATTAGAAAATGTTTCACTTTTGTTTAAGACAAAGCCTCATTTCATTAGACTCCCTTGTCTTTGAATTTCATTCCATTAAGTAGTAATTGTTCATTTGTGATATCTGAATCTGGTGCCAGCAATGACTGCAAGATCAAAGGTACATGATTAAGATGACTTCACGTAGAAAAAAGAAGGATTAAAATGCAAACTGGAGCCGATGCGTTTAATTGCTTATTGAAGCATATTTATGCAGAAGTTTAATGATAGAAAATCATTTCCAGGCATGTGAATAGCACATATACCTTAATTATTATTTTTTAAAAGTCTGTCTTCAAAAGTAACGTTAAAGATAATAGACATTTTAAAGATACAGGATTCAACAGAGCATGTATCATTCAATAATTCACAGTTTAAAGTGGAAGTTCAGAATATATGGTATTTTTCACATTTTGGAATATATTGCCCTAACAAATGATGAGAACTTTATCTTGAAATGAGAGAGTTGGCAAACAGCTAGTTAACTGAAGATGTCTAATCAGAGTAATTATGATTTTCCAAAAATATTATTTTGACAATTTAAGTAAAATCATGTTTATTTTCTGCCTGCAGTAAACCAATCATATTTGTAACTCCCTACTCCTTTTATTTTTAACATTGTAAATGAAAATACTATTTGAATAGTGCAGAAATACTGTTTGAGGATTGCCATTAAGCTGGAGCAGTATTTTTGATATGAAAAGGGTATGTTGTTGTTGTTAGGAGCCATCGAGATGAGTACGACTCATAGAGACCCTACGAACAAAAGCTCTGAACCCTGCGCTGTCCTGCGCCATCCTCACAATTCCTGACACACAAGAGCCTGTCGTAGCAGTCATCATGTCAATCTACCTGGTTGAGGGTCTGACTCGTAGCACCTCTTAGTATAGCAGAAGGTAACACTCCCTGGCCCTGCACCATCATTGTAATTTGTCATTATTCTTCGAGCCCATTATTGCAGCCACGGTGCCAATCTATCTCAGTGATGATCTCCCTTTTTCTCACTAATCCTCCACCGTATGGGATGTCATTCTTCAAGGACTGGTCCTTCCTGATACTTCCCCAAAGTATGTGAGAGAAAAGTCTTGCTATCCTTGCCTTCAATAAGCATTTTGACTGCATGTTTCCCCAAGACAATATCATTTGTTGTTTTGGGAATCTACGGTATAGTTAAAATTCTTTGTCATGTAAGATAAATAATGTGTAATAAATGGGAAATCAAAAGATGAATTTCAATGGGAAAATCTGCTGTCAGGGACATCACCAGTGTACTGAAGAGTAACAACGTCAGTCTAGAGACTAAGGTGCACCTGATTCAGGCCAAGGTCTTCACAATTACTTGCTATGGATCAGACAGCTGGACAATGACTTAGGATGATGATGCTGTTGTTGTTATACACCACTGAGTTGCCTGCCATGCTTAGTGATCCTATGTATAACAGGTCTAAAGCCTGCTATACTGAGCCAGTCTTACTGACTCTGACACATCTAATCCCATTGCTCCACTTACTGTATCAATTCATCTCATTTGGGGGTCTTCCTCTCTTGCGCTGTCCCTCCACCCTTTTGAGCATGATGTCCTCCTTCAAAGACAAGTGCCTCCTGGCACATGCCCAAAGTGTGTAAAACAGAGCTTCAAAATCCCAGCCTCCAAGGAGAAACTTGGTTTCACCCTCTCCAAGACAGGGTTTGTTTTATTGGTAGTCTATGGTACGTTCACTGCTCTGCTCTCTGATGCACAGCAAGTAATTGCAAAGACCATGGCCTGGATCAGACACACCTTAGTCTCTAGACTGACTTTGTTGCTTCTCATAGTCTGGAGAGGTCTCTAACAGCAGATTTGATACCTTTGAGTTGGGGGTTGGAAAAGGGTATTGAATATACCACAGACTACTAAAAGTACCAACAGGTTCACCCTAGAAAGGGTAAAACCAGGCTGCTCTTTGGAAGCAAGGATTTTGAAGCTCCATCTGATATAATTTGGGCATGTGGCAAGGAGGGACAAGCCCTTGGAGAGGGACATCATGTTTGGAAGGGTGGAGGGACAGTGCAAGAGAGGAAGACTTTGGATGCAGTGGATTGACTGTGACTGGAATGATGGGGGTAGGTGTGTCAGAGACAATGAGGTTGGCTCAAGATAGTGCAGCATTCAGAGCTGTTGTACACAGGGTTGTTATGAGTTGCAAGCGACTCAACGGCACATAACAACAACAATATTCAAAGCATTTTCACCTTCTCTCAAGGGTTCTCAAGCCATTACACAAACTTAAACACATATGCAGGTGGCTCAGAAATTGTTTTATTATTTTTTCTCTCTAGCCCTAACACTGATCTAATGTTCCTTTAAGATTAGCTGGCCTGCACCATAGTCACAATAATTTGCATTAATTTTGAGTAACGTGGTGATGATTATGCTATGAATTATTATGCTCCCTTATTCTGTCTTTTTCCCCCTCATGATCTGGACATGTCAGTATTACCAAAAGTAAATGTTTCCTATTCCTTTTCTTTCATATATCTTTGACTCTTCATTGTTTTAGAGTGAAATTAAAATATTCAGATGATATGCTAATCTAGTCATCATTACTAGGCTTTATCTATTATGAACAGGGCAACAAAAGAATTTTTTGATAGAAAGTAACATAATGAAATGTAAGTGTTTGATAAGGTGCAAAATAATATATTCTATATAAAATACAAAAGAATATATCCTTAAATTTCTACAGGCTTTTCGAACAATAAAATTCATCAATGAATGTTATAGAGAAATTTTTATCAGGAGAATAAAATATTGTAGTTCTCTCATTAGAAGGTCAAATATGAATTACTCTAATACCTAGGATAACAAAGTGAAAGAACTTCTCAAAGTATTCTCTCTCTGCCTCCAGAAGCAGTCAGCCCTGTCCACTCTGCTCTGAGCTCTGGACCCTGACCCCTCCAGACTGCATCTACGAAGTTCCTCTTGCCCTCCGTCTGTAGCTTGGCAAAGGAGGCATTAGCAAAAGTCCAGAGGAAAGGAGAAGAGATCAGAGTAAGAACATAACCTTCCTCTTGGCCTGGGTTGGCAGAAGCTGGATTTCCCTAGTGAAAAACCAGGGGTCTTTTAGGGATGCCTTCTTCTAGATAAAAAGACCTTGATGTATTCTGTTAATTTCTCCTTCCCCCTGCTCCTTTCTTCAGGCCTTGAGTGTTCATTGTCTCTTGGTTTCATGTCCTCACATTTCACTGCTCCTTCAGATTTCCTTTCAAAGGCACTCAAGGTGTCTAATCCATAGAGAGTTGCACAACTAACCCAAAGGTCACACCTCTCTGGCAGTTCCATACCACCAGCGGCTCTATGGAGAAAGATGGGCAATTTCCTTTTGTGCTATTTTTAGCCTCGGAAACCCAATGGAGGGTCAACTATCAGTTGTTCCAACTTGATGCCAATGAATTTTAGGCTTCCTAAATTTAATTCTATTTATAAACAAATTTACTAAATTTTCTGTAATTACTCTTGTGAGTGTGCATCTGATTCCTGTAAGGCCCTTGAACCCTCAGATCTAGTTCTCGCCACTGCCTGATACACAACGTCATGACAGATGGAACAAAGACTGAAACTGTCAATGACTTCATCTTATTTGGATCCACAATCAAAACACTTGGTACTAATAGTCAGGAGATCAGGAGACATACTGTACTAGGAAGTCTGAATGCAGGGACCTCTCCAAACTGAGGAGCAATGATGTGAATTTGAGGACTAAGATGCACCTGATTCAGGCTATGGTCTTTGTAATCACCTGCTATGCTGTTGAGAGATGAACAATGAATAAGGATGACAGAAGGAGAACTGATGGCTTTGAAGAAGAGTACTGAATATTCCATTGACTACCAAAAGAACAAAGAGGTATGTCTTGAAAAAGATAGTCAAAAGGCTCCTTGAAGACAAAGATAGCATCATCTCACATATATTAGGCATGTTGCTAAGAGGGGCTATTCCTTGGAGAAGGACATCATCCTTGGAAAAGTGGAGGGCCAGTGAAAGAGAGGAAGACCTTCAACCAGGTGGACAGGCACAGTTACTGAAGCAACTGGTTCAAGAGTGAGAAATTGTGAGGATGGCACTAGATGGGACAGGGTTCAGATCTGTTGTTCACAGGATGGCTATGAGTCATCCTCCACTCAACAAAACCTAACAACAACCACAACAAAGGACTACATCCTTTGTTATTGTCTATTGTTTTGTTAGAGAATTCCAAATGAATCCCGACTTAGTGTGACGCTATGTAGAACAGGACACTGCTCGGTCCTGGACCATCTGGCTTGGGGTGGCTAGGTTCATAGAAGAGGCTAGCTGGTATGAACTGGGGGAACATGAAGTGAATTTCCAAACTTTTGGCCAATACTAGTTAACCCGACTTACTTGCCCACGAGTGGCTACGACTAAAGAGGAGAGAGTTGTGTGGACCCCAAATCTGTGGCACATGGCCTACTGGCTTAGCTCTTGGTAGACTGCTTGTTTACAGCCATTTGCAGCTAACATGGAGAAGTATAAGGGTGAGATTTGCCTACAGTGTTTCCTGCTTTAATGCAATCCCTTAGGAAATGACTTCTGTAAGTATTCTAAAGGATGCTGATTTTATCTCATTAGGAATTAGAATGGATGTTTCCCTTAGATGAATACATGCACAACCAAAATGAAAAAGATTATTAATAATCATTTAATGAATTCTTGACCATTCTAACACCAGTTTGGTGGAAGTCTTTCTCCTTTTCTTCCCTTCCTCTGAATATCATCCCCTATAA